AGGTATCCAAAAGTGCCATTTGACATTTTTACAAATATTAGCTGTACTTAGTTGCCATTAATAGTAATTAACGAGATTTGTTTATGCCTTCCTTTCAGAACTGTAACATGGAAATCCAGCCACTGCCTCCAGAGATGTGGGGACCAGCAGCATCCCAGGAAGGTGGCCGTCCCTCCTGTCCCCCCTGGCATGCCAGGACCACCCGGGGCAACACAGACCCCAGCAGCTGGTTTAGTTGATGTGGGAGGGGAAGAATCTCCTTCCTACAAACTCCCCCAGGGACCGCACCACACCACATAGATGGTAAATATTTGGAGCTTACCTTTTCGAGCAGTAATTTTTATTTGAAAAGACGTAGATTCTAAGGCATCAGGGAACTGTGAAAGAAACTGCTCTGTCTTGTTACCCTAACTTTAGCTCTGGTTAGGAAATAAAAGGGCAAATTTAGACTCCATGCAGCTCATTTCTATGGCTTTTCTAGAGAGCCACTGATGTTCAGTGTGACGCTGCTCTGGGACGGCAGAGACATCTAGTGGGAATGAGATTTTTACAGCCACAGCTCACACCTTTTAAACTACAGCCTTTTCAAAATAGCGCATTGAAAACCTGATGCCTAAGGGCCAAAAGGCTTCTCCTACCATTGCTGTCCCTTACACCACACAGCCCCAGTCCAGCTTGTACTCCTGAAGAAGCAAAGCCACAGCCAAGTAGCCAATTTATTTTCACCTGGGTTTAAATCATGGCATAACTGTCTCCAGCTGATGAGGGGAACACCTTGATGGGGGGAGCCTGGCTGGAATCACAGCTCAGCGCTGGTTTTAGCACTCAGCTCCCTCCTTCCCTTCAGCCTCTGCTTCCTTCCAGAAAGAGTAGACGTCTCGTGTCACATCTCACCCCGGAGTGGCAATTCCAGAGTGACTCAGTGTCTAAGTCTTGCTCCCCAGCGTCACATAATCCGGCTCAGCCACTGCTGCTCTTTTTCCCTAGGGCTTAGCAAAGGAGTAAAACAAGGAGGGAGATAAAAACAGAGTAGGCAATGCTGGACTAAGTCAAAATTACAAATGGTGATTATTTTAAATTCTGGAGTAATTACTTATAGCATTACTTATTTTTACGTATCTCTACAGCCCTGTGTCGTGTGTGGATTAAGTCATGGGTTCAAGCTGATCTCTCCTGAAACAGGTTTCTTGAGTTCAAGGATATCCACTAAAAATAACTCGCTTCTTGTAACTTGACAAATGGAAAACTGTAATCATCGAGAAGGTTGGTTTTGGGTTACTGATGGGAAAATGGCCTTCAGGATCATCCAGTCCTGCTCATATCAGAGCGACTGAAGCAGAAGTAGCAAAATTTGATCTCCTAGCTGGCAGTGTTTTCTTTGATACCATTATTTTAGGAGCAAAAATCTTCCTGAAGTGATGTAACAATAATAGTCATTTAAAAACTAAACACAGCTCCTTTTCAAGGAATTCTCATCATAAAAAAAATAGTTTTGGAGATGCAGGATGACTCAAGAAATCAGAAAGGGCTAGTGAACATTTTACCTAAAAGTTATCAAATCAAAATCAGCCTGGTTTGATTTTAATTGGCAGTGGCTGTTCAGCAGGCTAAGTGAAATGAGTTTGCTAATGTAATTTCTAGGGGTAGAGGTCTTTGCTGACAGCCAGAACTCTGGATGGCTCGAGTTACAGCATTATCTTTTCACTCCTACACACCCTTCGCCTGAGTCAGATTTAAGGTAATTTGGCTTTAGGAGGAACTTAGTGTTAGAGCTGATGGTATCAGAGATGCCCCGGCACGAGCCCTGGGTGACAAACCCCTGTCCTGCTGGCTCTGCAGGCTGCACGGCACTCCCCACACCCCCGTGTTTTACTTGGATAAGCTGTTTCTTTCCCTTTTGTAATCAGGAATCCGTTCCCTTTCACTAGGAGCACGGAGCAAAGTGGAAAATATGACAAAAAATAAACTCTCCGTAGGCAAGAGTCCGAAATGCTGACTGTGACAACATCGGAAGACCTTAGAAGCAAAAACCCTAAGAAAATAGGATGCGTTTCAGTGTTTCTATGCAATAATTGTTATCGAAAGGTGTCACTTTTTTGGATCAGGAAAAGTGTGAGTTGGGAGTCAGCAGTGCATTTTCCCAGGTTAATGGTGATTCATTTGCCTATGTTGATACGGGATTCATGTCCATGTTACGACATAGTTAATTAGATTTGTATCTGGCTGGTGAGGTAACACACATTATCTTTTTCTCAAGCAAAAGGGCCCCACATGTGGAATGGTGGAACATGGATTTGGCTACAACCCATTTATAACGTGTCAGAATCTCATAAAATCATTTTAATTGGTAGGTTTGTCGAAATTCTCTTTAGTTGTGCATAGCTGGTTCCAGAGTGAAGTCTATTTGTGAGGTTGCTGCCTTCTTCCATATTTCATTTCTGATACTCAAATATCTGCCTACCTTGACAGGAAAATGAATAATTTATCACAGGATGCTGTTCAAGTAAAAGCAAAATAAGGAAATAGTTTGCACAACTTGAATCAAGAGTGCTGCAGTCTAAACATTTACACTGACAGCCCCATGGATTGGCTTTATACAACCTCTATTTTGCTCTACAAGAGCCAACGCAGTGGAACAGCGTTTATTTTTGCTGAAGGTTTAAGCTGTGGAATCAGCGAGGGCAGGTTCTTGGCAGGGCAGGGCACTGATCCAGTGTCCCTTCGATGGGGCTCAGCTCCAGAAAGCACCGAGTCTGGCTGCAAATGGATCTTGCAAAAATGCCACTCACATCTCAAGAATTTGTGTTTTGAACATTCAGCTTGGCTCATCACTTGGGCTCATCACTGACTTGCTTTAGGCGTCTTCAGAAATCTGTATTGCATGAACTTGCGGGTTTGTACCAACAAGGACAGTACATTTTCTAATTTGTAACAGATAGCATCTAGGTAAAAACTCCATCCCCACAATTCCTTCATCTCCCAAAACCAGTAACTTCAGAAACTTCATGTTTGCATCATGAATGTTCAAAGAAAGGATTGAGAGAGGGTGACAGAATATAGGGCCTAAACCAGAAAAGCCCAATTCTTCAATCAAGTGTTTCCACAGAGACACCGGGGCAATAAACAAGTTTTGTATTTCATGAAGGCTACTGAGTTCTGAACAAGTATTTATTGGTTATTATCACTAATCTGCAAGTGGAACTATAAAAATCAACTTCATCATGATTTGCTCCATGTTTCAAATTACGTTTGGCATATTTCAGTATGTATTTCTATTCAGTTCAGATTACCTAAATGCTATTTCCATTTTCGTTTCAGATCTTTCTCTGAATTCTCCTCCAGCTTGGACTTGCTGGACAAATTCAGTTTTTGATTGATAAGCAATAGTAGGTACACTCTACTGTTACTAAGTCTTACTTACTTATAATAGACCAGTTTGTAGAATTTTTTAATATCCTATAGGGTTGTGAATTACATAAAAGGACTCATTTTGCCATAAAAATACCAAAATTATCCACCATAATGTGTGAAAAAGAGGAATTTACACCTGCACCTTATACAGAGATTAAATAATTTTTATTTACTATGAAAGAAACACAGAAGGAGATTAGAAAACAGAGCAATGACAAATATTTACCATTTGAAAATGCTGAAATGAAACAAGGGAAACAATTTCTTGTCCACTTTTTGCTGCAGACAAGGTAGTCTGGAAACCCAGATAGTCATTTTGATGCAGGACCAAGTAAAACTAACACTGTTCACAAAGAAAAAGTAAAAATGTGTTAGAATGCAGATTTAATACATCTTCCTTTTCCATCAGTCATAATAAAATAAGACAACCAAAGTGCACTTCCCGAATGACCCTCTATTTTTTTTTCGCCACAGATCTGAGAACAAGGAAAAGTAACACTAAATGAATTTCCCCAGGAAAGCTGATTTGGGTAATTCCCAGTGAGGTGTGTCCGGAGGTGGGGGCTCAGTTTAGTCCTCTGCTTATTTAACAGTTTTCTCACCACGTTGCTGGGTACCTCAGACGAAATACGTTTGTATTTTGGTTGATCTCTGGCATTTAATTGGATGATGGACAGATTTTTTTTGTAAGTATACTCAGGATAAATTTGATATGTTCAAATAGGTCTAATCTTTTATAGTCTTTAAAGTCAAACCTGGACAAACAGAAGCTTCATAGACTGGAAACAGTCCCTCTATACAGAAACAGGTATGTCATTAGTCTTGTTCAACAAAGGTCTGTACTATTACGTGCAGTAATATTTATTCCCCATTAATAATATTGATTTATTATTTCCCATTAAGAGTTCATAGAAAGCTATCTTTCCCAGATTATCAAACATTTTAATGGGCTTAAAATTGCTCAGAAAGTAATATTTCTTGAAACCTGCTGAAAACTTTAAAAATATGTTCAAAAGGATAACGTGACTTTTTCTTTACATCTCCTCCCGGAAGCTGACAGCGGTGGGGAGATGTTGAAGGAAATGTAAAACATTTCCTTCCACTGCAGCCCACCCGAAGCGAGGAAGCAGGCAGAGGCTGGAGCAGGCGGCTGAAGGCATTCATTTAGAAGAGCCCCTCAGCAAGGAGGCTGTGCACAGATGTTTGGGATTCAAAAGCTGCTCCCGTAACGCGGAGCGGAAGGAAGAAGAGATAACAGAGATACCGTTTGCCCCGAATCCTCCTCCAGCTGCAGAGGATGGAATGGCCCAGGGTGCTATCCCTTGTGCTCTACTGTCTGAGCGCCGGTAAATCTGAACTTTCTTTGACAGTCTTATTTTTCCATTTATCTTTAAACTGCTACATGGTTATATATCTATTTTGGATTGGAAGGTATAACATTACGTCTCCTTGGGCTGTCAGGTTTTTTGCACCCCAGAGGAATTCAGTACAAAAAAAGAAAATTACACTGCTCTGATAGCCTTCCCATCTCCAGCGGGTAGCTCAGGGATGCAGGTCACCCAGCAATGAGTGCAGGAAAATAAACGGAGGATAGAACATTCTTGTTTATTCAGATGAAATATTTATTCTCTGTACAACGCACGCCGAGTATTAAAATCCCCTCAAAAGAGAAAAAGAAAGCAATTTAATGGTAGGATTTCTTAGCATTCATGGAGAACCAGCATGGGATGGTCACAGCAGTTTGCTCAGGCCACCGGACTGCCCATCAGCCTCTCCTGCCGCAGAGCAATCAGCCGCTGGAACCACTTCTCTTCTGCTTCTGCCTTCTCGATAAACAGCTAAGGGACAAGGGGGAGAGGAAGAAAAGCAGGGACAACTCATTAACTTTCTCTTCATTTGTTCCAATCTGTTGAAATATGTGTTGATTTTTTCAGTGCCCAAAGCAGATTTCAGTGCCCAAAGCAAAAGCCCAGCTGCACAGGGGTGTTAAAATTCAGCGGTGGTATAAATACAGTAGTAAAAGTAGAGACTTTTAATAAGCCAACATCTTTAAGCCAAGATGTTCCAATTTCAGTCTCCTCCTCAAACAGCACGTTCCTCATATCACACAGGTCTTGATCTTTGTTCTCTATGTTCATCATACAGAACTGTTTGTTTACTTCAAGTAGTTTTTAACTCACTAATTCTTAAAAAAACCTCTACTGTAAGTACTCCTATTTCCAATTACAAGTGCTCACAAAGGAATTTGCATTTAGTATAGCCACAATGATTTAAAACTTTCTTAAATTTGTCACGTACTTAAAGCTTTACGATTTGGCAAAGTGGGCAAGTTCTGAGTCTTCTACCAGGTTTCCAACCACATAGAATCATAGAATCATAGAATCACTGAGGTTGGAAGAGACCCTTGGGATCATCGAGTCCAACCATCTACCCTACTCTACAAAGTCCTCCCCTACACCATGTCCCTTAGCATAAACCAAAAGCAATCTTTCCTGAATTTTGGTTGAACAGGATCTTAAATTCCCCTGCATTAAATTACTTTGACATAAAATTCGTTTGCAACTCTAAAACTACATCACTGGTGAACTACTTCTGCTGTAATTATTCTCCACTGGATGATGTGAGGAGTGCGATCCTCTTTGAGCCAATGAGCGACCCATCAGTTAACGGTCTTCAGACCACAGATGATTTGATGAGCAGCACAGCAAAATGGTTGTTGGGTCACACGAACCCGCTCTCATTCAATGGGCTGTGGTGTTTGAAAGATGAATTAAATATTGGCACACTTACGTTTGGATGTGCTAAAGAATTATCATCTTGGTATTTGATGGCAGTAGGAATATTGGCAGGTGGTGGTTCTTTTTCAGGAGCAGATGCATCAGCAGGTCCTGCTCCGATAGTTACAGGTTCGTACTGTAGCTCAGGAGGCTCTGCTGACTAAAAAGAAAGAAACACATCTGATATCTCATCCTCAAACCCCCAAGCGTGGCAGCACCTTAACCCAGCATTAAGCGTCCTTCCCACTGCAACAGGTGCCCGTGGAAGGATCCTCATGCAAATACTTCTCAGCGTGCTTGGTGGGACACACTGGACGTGGACTAATGTCCAGACTAAACACATGAAGTGGGAAAAAAGGTATTGCCAAAGGTAATGAGAGAGTTTGCGGAACAGTAGAATTAGTGTTTGGGATCACTTTCTGAAGAAGCTGCATGAACTTCTCAGAGACTTCTGGAAAAGGCAAGAAAATGCATGTTCTGGGGGAAACAAACAGTGATAATTCAAAACACCTCACCATTAGATGGGAAAACTCAGCCAGCCTTTGCTTGCCTGCTCCCAAAGACAAAAGCATCCCAGTTCCCTAGAAAACTTGGCAGCCAAAACGTAGGCAAAATTCTGAAACCTGGATGAATCGCATGAGGTTTTTGGAAAGCTGTCTGAAAACTATGCCCTTTTGTTTCAGGGAGTAAGTACAATCTTGAAGTCTGACTTCAGTTAAGCAGAATTAAAAATACAGATCTCTACCTTTTAATTACAATGTAAATGTCTGATTACTTTTGGATTTCAATTCTTCTGCTTTTCCTAAGAAAAAAAAAAATCTTCATTTTTTAATATGATTTTTAAAGAATTTTTAAAAATCAGAGTTGCTCAGCATAGGTAGAACATACTGTCAAAACAGCTGATTTAAGTGAAATTCTTACACATTCAAATGTATCCTTCCTTGAACTCCACACCACTTACACAGGAGAGTCGCTGGTGGGATTTAGGATTGTCAACACTGATGCTCGTTCATCAATGGAAACTCTATTAATAGCGCAGCTTCCACCTGACTTTGAAAGGATTATGCACCACGAAAGGATATTGAAAACTTACCTTTTTGACTTCTTTACTTGATCTGAATGTCTGTGGAACAAAGGAGTCACTTTCAATAGCTTCAATTTCCTTTACTCGTTTCACTTGCTCCACGAGGGTGGCTTGGTCTACAAAGAGAAGGTGTAATGTCAGGATACGTTAGTGTAAGCCCACAATAAATGCCGTGTCTAAGCAATGCCTTGAATATATTTTACAACAGTACATACCAGGAAAAAAAAAGTAATGCAGCCTAAAATACTCTTTTACGAAGAAAAACTTTCTCCTTTAGTAAAAATTACAACAGTGAGTTGGCCATTATTGTTCAACGGATGATATCATTCAAGATGCTAACTTAAGAATTTGCCAGAGGTGTCCTTGCAGGACAACTGCTAGGTTTATGGCACGAGGATTTCCTAAAGAAGTTAAGGTTTTGGTGACAGTGCAGACAACTCAGTGGAGCATCATCTGTATGACCTTCTGCTTGTATGGAGGTGAATTTGGCTTCTGCTGCAGATGTCCCAAGAGATGTGCCATCATCTTCATGGCAAGCTAAGTGATTAGTTTGGCAGTAAGAGTTACATCGTTAGGTGAATTTGACAAAAAGAAAATCTTACAATTTGGTAATAAAATATTCCTAACATACACACTAAATATTCTGTGCTCATATGATTTGTAGGTGACAGATTTTCAGTGATTTAATGAAATGAGTAAAATTGCTTCTTTGTTGTACTGTGAGGTCTTACAATGCACATGTATTTAACAAGATATATTTGAATCCCAGGCTGAGCAGCTCCTGCCAACCTTGGTATGAGCTGCCCTAAACACGCAACGGGGCTGCTGTCGGGTGGGCTTTGCTCGTTCTTCCTCCCCTCAACCAGACAATCTTCTGGGTAGATGAGACTGGTAGGAAGCTCAGAGCACCATGCACAGGCTCATCCAGTGCAAACACTCTTCTAACATTTGTTTTTAAAAGGTTTCTTACTGGTGGGCTTGATGAGCTCATGAGTCACAGTATCATGGTCTCGAGTAACAAAGTACAAAGGAAATTGCCAAAAAGTTGAGGATAAAGCAGCTTAGGATAAAACATTGCTGTTTCTTTCAGGTACCTGAGGTTTGATCAAAAAATTAATGAATACTCAAGAATACTTTAAATATTATATAAAATGCAAATTTAAATAAAAGTGCAGTTGTAATTATATATTTGTAGTACATTCATATGTATGTCTAGAAGATTAAATTTCTTGTTCTAAAGAAACCAACGTGTATTTGAAGTCATAAAACTCCTTCCAGACCAAAAGAGCTTGCAGAATTATTCAGAAACTTGGAAGGACTGAACTGTTTCCCTGTATACAAAATTCTAAGTCCAAATTCACCTAGATATGTACATATACTGCAAAATACTTTCTCTTTTGCACAACAAAAAAAAAGAAATGCAAAGTCTGTAATGACTAAACAATGGAAACTCATTTCAGTCTATTAATGACAAGTAAGTGGAGCTTCAGGTGAGCCAATAAACTAATGGCAGCACAGAAACACTCCTGGAATGGACGTGCCCACACCAAATTAACAACCTTATCTTTTATCAACAGGTTGTACCACAAATCTGTTTTCTTTTCAGGCAGAATGACTTATTCATTACGGAACATCTGACACAAAAGTATTTGCTTTACTGTCTGTTTCACTTTCTGCTTCTCCTGATTCACAGTTCAGTTCATTTTCCTTATCTACTTGTATATCTAACTGCAGTGACAAGCAAATCTAGGATTCTGCTAACTGCAGGCTTTGGTTTGCAATTTTAACCAATTTAATCTTCATCTTATTTACTTATGAAAACTATTTTCTTTATACACAGTACATTGGGGCTGGTGTGAAACAGTGGAGGTGCTCTGTTAGAGAGCAGTGGGCAGGTTTTGCTGGGAGCAGCAATTATAAAATGGGGAAGGCAGACAACAGATAGGAAGAGATGTAACTTTCCAGCAACAAACAAGAACCTGCCCTGTGGCTTCAAAATTTATTTGGGAATATTTTCCTCTCTATGGATATGATGAACAGAAAAATCAGGAACATGCTAACTATTTCTGGATGTGTTAAACGTGCAGAAAGTCAAATATGTCAGTTGCTGAGCCTGGGTGACCACTTACAGCCCCCCCGACTGCTTCTCCTGGAGAACTCCCACCTCAGGAGCTTGGCTGAAGGCAGGCAGAGGTCTGCAGCCGGTGGGACACGGGCGGGAGCAGTGATGTGGGGTGTCCTCAGGGAAGGGGGGGGGCAGAACCAGGTGGGACAGGGGCAGAGACACCGCAGCTCCTTGCACGGCCAACTTCACAGCCCTGGGAGGGTGTCGGGGAAGCCTCGGTAAAGCTTCAGCTTTGGCAAGGCTTAGGACGAGAGCTGCACTACAGCAAGTGCATGAGTGCATCTTTAAACCTGAATATTTTGAATTTAGAAGGAAAAAAATCACTTACTTAGAATTAAATTTGTCTTTAGAAGTTCTGTCGCCTTGCTGCTAAAGTCTTCTTTATAAAAAACAGATTCCTAAAGATCCCATAGGAAGTATAAAAACAAATATACTAATGCCCTACTAGAGAGAGTAAATCATAATTCATCAAGCTCCTGGGTAGATCCCAGTCTGCGGATAAATAAAGGACTGTTCCATGTCCCTGGCAGTCACAGTGTTAAAACCAGGGATCAGAGGAAATTTGTCTTTAGAAGTTCCATCACCTTGCTGCTAAAGTCTTCTTTTTAAAAAACAGATTCCTAAAGATCCCATAGGAAGTATAAAAACAAATATACTAATGCCCTACTAGAGAGAGTAAATCTTAATTCATCAAGCTCCTGGGTAGATCCCAGTCTGCGGATAAATAAAGGACTGTTCCATGTCCCTGGCAGTCACAGTGTTAAAACCAGGGATCACAGAAAGGCAGGTGAACATAGATTTCAAATCAGTTGCTCAATTCTTATTTCACAAAAGCTTTGGTCAGTTCCCAGCCTGTTACAGTATCTTACATGAATCTTACACAAACCTATAGAAATGACAAATTATTAAGGGGGCAAAAATCACTAAATGTTCAGAATTACATCAGTGACATTAACTTGGGGAAAATGGACTGGAGGAAGCATAACCCATTAGCGCATGATTTTTTTGACAAACACATTATTGGTAGATAAAACGACTTCCATATGTTGTTTGTCAGATGTCAGTAGAAAGGATATGTATTTCATAGTAAAATCAAAAATAATGGAGTCAGAAAGCTAAGAGGCTACAGACAAAAAAAAAATCAATACTAACTCATTGCACAGCAAGTCATTTTACCGTGTTATAGCGAAAAAAATAGACTAAATCTTGTATTAGGGCTTGTTGAGGCCATTTTTTTATAGAAGCAGCACAACTCCTGTTCCTGTCACCACCCTCCCTGGTGACACGTGGCCGGAGAACCCCCCCAGGAACCGGGGGCAGCCTGTGCCCAGCCCAGCCCCACCAAAGGTTTGACACTTCCCTTCTGTATTCACATCTATTCACCTCTTCCCATATAGAGAGAAATATATATATCTACCTATACACACATCTCTTATAGCTGCTGTTTTCATATTGAATTAGTCTGTATTAGCAGTAAGTTGAAATGCCACTTTGGAAATAAAATATGTATTAATCCTTCAGATGCCATCCAAAAATTTCACACACACGATAATCAGAAACACCAGAGAATCAGATAAAAGAAAAAGTAACTTTTCTGCAAGGTCCGTGTGGAATATTCCCATTTCTTTGCTTATTTCTAAAGACAAAACTGGTGATGAAGCCCACTAGGAATTTAACAACCATTGAAACAGAAGCATTAAGTGACTAATAGAATCTTGTGAAAGACCCATTAAATAAAAACATATTTTAAATATTTCTTGTATAATCTTTAGGTGTAAAATGCTTGCTGGATTCATTGCTCATCTACGATCCTGCCCATGAAAATGAACGCGTGCCTTTAGCTAAAGAGTTTTCTTTCAAGTGGCTCTAACTTAAGAATCAAAGAAATGACATAATAAACCTAAAATATTGCTCAGAATATATGTTTCTTCATATTTGACCAATTATATTTAACAGGATGTAGCTGGTTAATTTAACTGACCCATTTAAAATATAATACATGTTAAGAATATGCTTGGAAATACTTTCACAAACTGCCCCCAGGCCCCCCATGGCAGGGGAGTTGGAACTACGTGATCCTTAAGGTCCCTTCCAACCCAACTATTATCTGAATAAGTTGCTGTTCTTTCTGCTCTTTTGTCCATGAGTTGAGGATTAAAAGAAGAAAACACAAATAGGCACCAGACTAAACAAACCAACTAAAGAGGAAAATATTTTCCCCTTCATCCCATTTTATTTAGGGTTTGCTGAGGTGATACTGCCTAATTTTTACACAGCTGTATATATATCTCTCTATAACTGTATGGATACAGTAACAACTGCATTATAGACCTCTCTGGTTTTTCACCAGAACTGTGGTTTTTCACATGCCCGGTGCTATTTAATTGCTTCCTGTTTTTACTTAAGCTGTGCAAAGTGACATATCAAAGAAAAATGAAGTTTTCATCCAGCCAATTTGCAGCGGAAGAGACAAAAACCTACATGGCTCTGAGACATGATGTCTTCTATAGTGTGTCCCACTGAAATATTTATATTAAATAAAATGAAAGCACGAGGAGGAGGAGGAGGAAAAATCCAGCAGGACGGGTGGGATTCGCTTCACTTTCATCACCTCTAGACTTTATAAAACTTGTAAATGTGTTTTGGGGGGTTTCTAATCTTTTGAAACCCTCAAATCTTATCTCTGTGCAGGAGACAATTAGCAGCAGCTAATGAGGGCTGTCCCCTGGCACAGGTATTTGCAGAGCGTGACCTCCAGTCCCAACACCGGTGCCGATGTCCGGGGATGCCCAGGGGATCACGGGCAGAGGCGGGTGCAGAACCTCACCGGTGGCCACCAGCCATGGTGGGGCTGGAGACCTTCACCACTACAATCATTTCACTGAAAACCGGAGCAAATCAGCCAAGAAATTAATTAATCCCACAAGTTTTGCATTCCCCCCTTCTTGCCCTGCTCGGGAGTCCCTTCTGGCTCCCACCCTGGGATGTGGT